CTAAATAAACTAGATATTTTAAATAGACTGGGTGTTTTAGATCTATATTATAATATAAATAAATATTTAGACAGATATAAGTACAGACTCTGCTGTACCTGCTAAAAAAGTATATAATAATAATTTAACTAAAAAAAAAACCCGCAGGTCAGGCCTTTATAATAATTATATTATATATAAATTAGTTTAGAAATATTAAAACTAATCTAGTTTAGATCTATTATATCTTACAGTTCTATAGCCAAACTATTTAAAATCTAAGATTAGAACTTAAATTTAAAAGTTGTTAGACTATTTAGCTGGCTTGGCTAATTTAGCCTATTTAGCTAATCTAATATATATAATTATACTATTAAAAAAAAACAGTACTTAGTATAATCTTATTTATAGTAAACAGATTTATATATTATATTTATTTAAGTAAATTATAAGTAAGTAGATACAGTATAATCTTAATTTATTCTAAGTACTAGTAAGTATTAAAAAAATAAAAAGTAAAATATAGTCTAAACTATTACCAACTTTTATTATATATATATATATAGTATATATATAAAGTACTAATAAAAATAATTAAATATAGTAATAGTAGAATTAACTCTTTAATATATTAATAGAATAATAAGTAGAATAAATATATTTAAAAGTAAAAAAGACTAACAGACTAAAAAATAATAGTAAAAGCTACAGAGGTCAGATTTTTTAGACTTAGAAAAAAATTATAAAACTAGAAAAATAAGTAGAAAGTTAAAAGTTGGAATCTAGTTATCTAGCTGGTCTAAATCTATTATAATCAGCTTAATAAAAGCACTTAACAGTATATAAAAACTAATATATATTTAATTATATAAAAAAAAAGATCTAGTATTATACAGATCTGGTAAGTAAATAGTATTATAATACCAGATAGTTTTACTTATAGATTAAAATAGATATAAATAGATATATTAAAATTCTGTCTACTTAGTTTACTACTTACTGGGGACCAGCAGCTGCTGGTAGCCCCTAACTAACTAGTTAGTATAAACTTAGATTACTAATTTAAATTACTAATAATTATATAGCTTAGCTTACTACTTACAGCTGTAGGTACTGGTAGGTAGAAGGGTTTCTATCTATCTTTCTATATTTAGTTCTTTAATTTCTAAAAAACAAAAAGTTAATAATTTTTCTAAGTTGATTCTAAATTAGATTAAGTTTTGTTTACAGCTTTAACAACCAGTTAGAGCAGTAGAATAGATTTTTAGATACTAAAAATTAAAGTACTTACTTATAATAAACTATTATAAGATTTATTAAAATTTTAAAGAATTCTGCTTTTTAGATCTGCTATATTAAAATTATTATATTATATACTGTCCGGGCGCATCGCCGCAGGTAAGATATAATAGCTGTTATTAATATTAACAACTAATTAAAACAGTAAATTAGATTTTTAAATACTAAAAATTAAAATACTTACTTATAATAAACTATTTTAAGATTTTATTAAATCTTAAAAAATTCTGTTTTTTAGATCTGCTGTATTAAAGTTGCTATACTGTATACTATTTAAATATATTACTATAAATAAAATATAGTAACTATTATTAATTTTAATAACCAGTTAAAACAGTAGAATAGATTTTTAAATACTAAAAACCAAAGTACTTACTTATAATAGACTATTATAAGATTTATTAAAATCTTAAAAAATTCTGCTTTTTAAATCTGTTATATTAAAGTTGCTATTTTATCTGCTGTCTGGGTATATTACTATAGATAGAATACAGTAGCTATTATTAACTTTAACAACTAGTTAAAGTAGTAGAATAAATTTTTAAATACTAAAAATTAAAGTACTTACTTATTATTAATTATTTTAAAATCTTTTAAAATCTTAAAAAATTCTGTTTTTTAGATTTGCTGTACTAGAGTTGCTATACTATATACTATTCAGATATATTATTATAAATAAAATATAATAACTATTATTAACTTTAACAACTAGTTAGAGTAGTAGAATAGATTTTTAGATACTAAAAACTAAAGTACTTACTTATAATAGATTATTATAAAATTTATTAAAGTTTTAAAAAATTCTGCTTTTTAAATCTGCTATACTAAAGTTGCTATTCTATCTGCTGTCTGGGTATATTACTGTAGGTAAGATATAATAGCTGTTATTAACTTTAACAACTAATTAGAATAGTAGAATAGATTTTTAAATACTAATATTTAGAATAGTATATATTTATATCTTTTTTAGTAAAATATTTTAATTGTAGAAAATTCTGCTTTTTAGATCTGCTATTTTATAGTTCTTTTTATTTATTTTAAAATACATAGGATTGTCTAGATAAATAGGATAAAAAAGCTTAGCATATATCCTAATCTGGATTTTACATTTATCTATATTTAAATTAGGTAATATTTAACTATAATTTTTACCAAGCTATTACTTACCTAATATAGATGGTATAGATTTTATCTTTATAGTTCTAAAATAAGAATAACCTCCTTTATTTAGATATTAAAAAATAATTTTAAAACCCCTATTCTTAGCATCTGAAAATATATGCTGATTTACTATATAGAAAGTATTACATTCTCTTAAGATTATTTAGGGTTTTTTTTATACAAGCGTTGACGGAATTGAATGTCTGGCCCTCCTGGGAATATTCGAGGTCAATGCTGGGAACCTTCGGAGGTCTTGGGTCTCCTATCGAAAAGCGATCACGTTATCCCACCTTTTAGGCTTATACAGAGTTGCCGTCCGACGTTCTTCAGAAGAGCAGGTCCCAATGGACACTAGGATGGGTTATCTGTGGTATCAGGTTGCGAGAGGGGTAAGCTGCTTTCAACAACTTTCCATACGTCTTCAATACTGATATTTATTGGGAGCGTTATTTCTCTACTCTTCTCGGTGTACCTTCAGCCACAGGATCGGCTGTTCTTCCTTTTAATAACAGCGCCCTGTGGCTGTCACCAGAGGATGTTTATTACAAGCATTTGTACTATATAGCTGGTCTTATTCTTGCTCGCAACTAAGAGGATGCCACCCACTCCTTTTCCACCACTCAGCGAGTGTTTAAAAACTCGAGGTAGTGGCGAACCAGATGCTGGTAATATAGTGGGAAGTCCCTACCCACATCCCAAATCAACACACAGCAAAAGCATTACAGAAGTTTGAGCAATTAATATGCCAGATCTGGTACTTTAAGCTGGAGCATCTTCTCCACCTACCCTTTATACTACATAAAACAACTGATCCACGATATGAATATTGTTGTGTTTCTTGTCTCAACACCTGTAGAAACTTGATTAAGAGATGGCTTGCTATTCGCGAGAGTCGGGACGCTTTCTACTTCTCCAATTTGTTGGAATACAAGGCATTCACCGCGGCGACAACTCTCTTACTCGGGCTTCTAGGGCCACACAATAGTATTGTCTCCAACCGTGTGCAGGAACGCCAGGAAGACTCTCAGCTGGTGGAGACCGTTGTCCGAAGATTTAAGACACAGCAGCAACAGGGCTGTGGAATACGGATAGGAGATCAGAGTATATTAGTGATTCGTACCCTGCAACGCTTCCTTCACGACAAGAGTTGGTCATGCAGCTTGCGCCTTTAGATTTCCTTTTTTGGTACCATCAAGCTCGCACGCTCCGGTGCCTTGCAGCTGCTGGAAGGTGAGCGGATACTTGGGGCAAATTTGTTGGGAGATAACTATACCACTCACTCTGCCCAGCTTTCTGAGTTTTCATCTTCAGGGACAGTTGATAACACCCCTAAATCAGCTTCCGGTCCGGCCAGATACTCACGGCAAGAACTGGTTGAACACGAAGGTGCTCTCCCCCCCATGGCTCCGCCCCTAAATAGGACAATTCTGCGATTTTTTGGTGATCACCTTCAGCTTTCTGAAGAGTCTAGTATACGAAATAGTGTTGGATTGAGCGATTGGTCATACGATGAAAGCGATACAATTTTTTTTAATAGCTTGGTGAATACCGATCTTGTGGGCAATTGGACTCTCTAAATCTGAGGCATTCCCGCACGCCCAACATATGCCTAGGAGGAGTCATAAAACTGGACCTTTTGGTAGGTATCGGTCGCAGAGAATATAGCCTAGTAATAAAAAACATGTTGTGTCTTTGTATAATGGAACTCACACCTTTACTTCTCTATGCAGACGAACAATTGTCTCTTACTCTAATGCTATGCTGTGCTGATGTCACTCGTATACATTAACCACCTATCGTGAAAGAATTATCAGGAAAGAGTAAAGGATGTCTGTCTGGCTCCTTTTGTGATTTGTAATCTATATAAAAAGTCTTGCAGCAGGTAATCCGTCTGAGAATCGGCCAATTTTGACCAAACCGGCGGAGGGACGGCGGAAGAGCCCCCCGCCCCCTCACTTATAAAAAGATGGACTTTGGACGGGGACGATGACGGTTCTGAAATCCACCCACCCCTTTCAAAGTCATAATCAATCTCGCCTCCCAGAAAGACGTTTTGAGACCATGGCCCGCAGGCAAGACACAGCCGGTATCATGGCTGCGGCCGAACGTCACATCCTCTCCTATTGCGCCGACCTCACCTCTCCCGTGGACCAAACCTCCACTCAATGTGCTGCAAAACTGGCCACCTATTACCTTCCATCGATCTTGATCTTAACGGATGGAACCGTGACTCGACTCTCCGACCCCTCACAGTACGCATAACTGATCGCGGGTCCTCTGGACAAGGTGGGCAGTCTTCCTCGGGTGGGCCGCCACCGCGTCGATGCAATCAGCGAGAACAGTGTAATTATCTGGCTTTCCCTGGAGGTCAATGGAATGGAGATATCAAATGTTTATTTCTTCCAGAAAATGGGGAATGGGATGGAAGGATTCGAGGGGGGAATCTTTGACGGTGAAGGGTGGTTGTTGAAGCAGCTGGGCAAGAAGTCCAGGTAGGGCATAGGGTGCTTGGTACATGCTATAAGGGTATCTGGTATATTCAAGATATTTTGTGTAACTAAAGGCAGAAAGCCCGTACGAGCGACTTCTTTCTGTTGGTCCTCTTTTTTTCTTTGTTTTTTGTTTTTTGAGTCAATGAATCAATGTCTCCGATCGTGCGAAGTGTGTGGAGTGAAGCATATCTCTGCCGGTCAATGGTCCTCACGTAGATGGCGAATCAGCTCTGGCCACGCATAATAATCCCGGTTACAAAGCTGACAATACGGCAGCTCCTGATTGTGATACGTCTCCACATGATCCAAGAGTCTCATGCGGCCAACGGGACCCATGGCACAGCAAGGGCAGTAGTAATCCGTCGTACTCACGCCGGCCGGGGGCTCAAAGAAGCCCGCAGAGTATTGAGGACTGTGGGAGTCCCTGGCCGCTGCTTGCTGGGGAGCAGATGCAGTTTCCCGATGCTCCTGGGAAGGGGCGGCAGTGATATTGTGCACTCGCCGCATGTGTTGGCTCAGGCCTGACCAAGTCGGCAAGGCATCATCACAGTAAGAGCAGGCATAGTAACTACTATCTCCCGACTGGAACTGCGGGTTGTCATGCATCCTACGATAGTGCGTGTAGAACATGTTGTTGGTGGGGGCCGTGAAGGCGCACGCCCGCCCATCAGGCAAGACACCATCGCAGAGGTACATTTCACCGTCCCTCCGAAATCGATATCGTGACGACGCGGCGCTGGACTCGTTGCGTCCACGGAAATAAGAAATCTCACGCCACAGCGTGCCGCAGCCCGGGCAGCCGAAAGGCAGGGGATCCCCACGGTCGGCCTCCTGGCGCCGCAGCTGGTCGACGCAATTCCGGTGGTAAGCTCGCCGACAGTGCGAACACTGGTATACATGGTGACGGGCGGTATGTCCGACAATCTCGTCGCCACATAGTTCACACCATTCGCGGCCCTCGCCCTGAATCGCCCGGATAGCCCGGACCGGGTCCCGGACCCGGCCTCGGAGTTGCTGTAAGGCGTGGCGGGAAGCCATCTTGTTCGAGAGATCTATGCTGAACTTGCGTTGATGCTGAACAGTGGGTAGGGCTAGGGGACTTCAAGGTCGATGAGGATGACAATGAGGGTGTCGATGTAGACGGCAGGCCAGGAGAGGCGTTAAATAGTCTAGATTGGCGCATAAGATCGTGCACGGGATCCGGATAATCTCCATCACGATTCTTTGAGCCAGTCTTATCGGCTTTCTTCCTGAGTTTCTTTATGCTGAGACAATGAGCGGTCGTGATCTTCTTTGTTGGAAGTCCACGGAATATTTCACATCGGAGGCTTTTAAATAAGGGAATCTTTTTGGATGTGACCGGGACTTGATCTGAATGATCAACAACAGTTGTGAACAGAACCATTGTCTGCGTGCTTATTGTTGTTGCGAGGAGGTAAGGCCACTGGTAAAGACGCAGCCTCCAGGAATCTCCTTTGCCTACCTGCCAGTATATAGTTCAGCAGATAGTCGCAAGACATGCATGCTACATCCATAGCCTTGACCCCAAGCTGCAGAACCCATCAGCACCGATATCATGACGCCCTACCACGAAGGCTTCCAGTTCACGGCGCAGGAGCACCGGCCACCCTCCGACTCTGGAACCCAGACCCTCCGGTTGCGGGTGGCCCACGAGCTACAGGTCGGGGCTGCACTGGCCGCTCAGGTGATGCTGGTTCAAGAGGTCCTCGACCCGAGCCATGCTTGCGAGGGCCGGCTGGGCCCAAAGATGGTTGCCAAGCTGTTTGATGCCAAATATCTTGACCCTTACGACCACCCGCCCAGCTATGCAGATCACCAGTACCTGCGGGAAAGTTCGGCCTACCGTTATCTCATCCGTCATGGCCTGGATCAGCATATTCCAAGGTTCTATGGCTCGTGGTCCACGATTATCGTGGACACCCAAGGTCGGCAGCGATCAGTCCGGCTGGTCTTGACCGAGTACATCGAAGGAACGGATATGGCGCATCTGCGGCCGTCGGACTTCTCGCCCAACGAACGCAAGGATTTGTTGCGGCAGGTCGTAGAAGCCGAGTCGCGCTTCTACACCCTGGACCTGCGCCATGACGACTTGTTCCCCCGGAATGTCATCGTTACTGAGACGCAGCGGGTTGTGATCATTGACTTCGGGCTGGCCTGTATTGGTCGCTCTGCGTCCGACATCTACGACTTCGATGACCCCGATGATCTCCTAGATGGAAATTATATCAGCCCGATCGTGCGCTGGTGGCGGGCCCAGGACGTGAACGACGAATGGGCCTTGTCCGGGTGGATCACCTGGAGCTGGAATCAGTGGCTGGTCGACACTTGGAGCAGCGATATTCCCAACATCACCCCGGCCATGCTGAAGTGGCTTCCGTCTGATGAGCGCGAGAAGCCGTTCTTCTATCACTTGTTCAATGGGTGCGATCGAACATTGCCCGAGTGGTATGTTGCCTATAAAGATCGGATGCGGTTCTAGGTGGCATGGACCACTCTAATCGTATTTTCATTCCCAGTCTCAATATCACCAGCATTATTATAAGTCTACCTGGAACCATCTCTACCATCGCGTCAACTATCACTCTGGGGGTGGCTGGGGGTCGGCTGGAAGAACATTATTCCGGCCAGAAGCCCTCAATAACCCCCATTGTCTAGTTGTCCGACTGTCCGACTGTCCGACTGTCCCTTTTATTATAAATCCCACTTAAGGACTGTGAGCCAGCCAGTGACAGCAGGCCAGAGGTACTTCTTACCTTGATCTTTCCACTATTTGCCCTGCTCTGGCAGTCTCAACGAAGCAAGCATGATGATCCCAACCAGAAATGGAACGCGGCGCGGGGATGCCAAGCAACAAGCAGCAGCATTGACCGACATTTCCCCGGTCATCAATGCAGGCATCAATGCAGGCATCAGCACATAAATACCTAGCAAGGGATTACTACCTTTCCCCGCATCTTCTGCTTCCATATCATCCTCCGCATCAGCATCATGGTCAGGTCGATCCGTCCTGCTGTGGCCCTGGGTCTCGCCACGCTGTGCGCGTGCACTTCATCAACAGTCCAAGCACAAACTACGACAAGCTCACAAGGTGTGTTGTAATGTGCCATCTATCTCGCACAAGGGATACAAGGAATCACAGAGACACCCTAACATAAGCCGACTTACCAGCCATCGTCGCGGAGGGCACCAACTTTGCCCTCAATGGCGACCAAGCCTCCTACCGATTTCACGTCAACCACACCACCGGCGATCTGGTGTCCGACCATTTTGGAGGCCACGTTACGGGCGCAATCCCCTCACCCCAGGAACCAGCCGTCAACGGCTGGGTGGGAATGCCCGGTCGCATCCGGCGCGAATTCCCCGACCAGGGCCGCGGCGATTTCCGCATCCCCGCCGTGCGCATTCGCCAATCCCCCGGGTATACCGTGACCGATCTCCAATACACCTCCCACGAGGTGATCCCGGGCAAGAACGCTCTGCCAGGGCTACCTTCAACCTTTGGCAACGCGCAGGAGGTGACCACACTGGTCGTGCACCTGTACGACAACTATAGCTCCGTCGCCGCGGACCTGTCGTATTCCATCTTTCCCAAATACGACGCTGTGGTGAGGAGTGTGAATATCACCAACCAGGGCTCGGCCAACATCACCATTGAGACCCTGGCCAGTCTAAGCATCGACTTTCCGTATGACGACCTCGACATGATCAGCCTCCGAGGCGACTGGGCCCGAGAGGCGCAGGTCCAGAGAAGGAAAGTCGACTATGGTGTCCAGGGGTGAGTGGATCCCGAGTCATTAGGGTTGATGGTCATGTCATCAGACTAACCAGAAGGCTATCAGGTTTGGGAGTAACACGGGTTCCTCCTCTCATCTACACAACCCCTTCCTCGCTATTGTCGACCCGTCCGCAACCGAATCTCAGGGAGAGGCATGGGGCTTCAACCTCATTTACACCGGGTCGTTCTCCGCCGCCGTCGAAAAGGGCTCCCAGGGCTTCACTCGCGCATTGCTCGGATTGAACCCGGACCGGCTCTCCTGGGAGTTGGGTCCGGACGAGACCCTCACCTCCCCGGAGTGCGTGGCCATCTACTCCCCGAATGGCATCGGAGGCATGTCTCGCAAATTCCACCGACTCTATCGCAACCACCTGATGAAGAGCAAGTTCGCCACCGCAGATCGTCCGATCCTCCTCAACAGCTGGGAAGGTGTTTACTTTGACTACAATCAAACCAGCATTGAGACTCTCGCGGAAGAATCGGCGGCTCTGGGCATTCACCTCTTCGTCATGGACGACGGCTGGTTTGGCGACAAGTATCCCCGGGTATCCGACAATGCTGGACTGGGGGATTGGGTGCCCAACCCAGCTCGCTTTCCAGAGGGGCTGTCGCCCGTGGTGCAGGATATCACCAACCTCACCATCAACGGGACGGACGCTAAGCTACGCTTTGGCATTTGGGTCGAGCCCGAGATGGTCAATCCCAACTCCACGCTCTACCACGAACACCCCGACTGGGTTCTACGCGCGGGGCCCTACCCCCAGACGGAACGCCGCAACCAGCTCGTGCTCAATCTGGCCCTACCTGAGGTGCAGGACTTTATCATCGACTTCATGACCAATCTGTTGCAGATTGACGGCATTTCCTACATCAAATGGGACAACAACCGCGGGTTTCATGAGACTCCCTCTCCTTCCAATGACCATAAATACATGCTCGGGTTGTATCGCGTCTTCGATACCCTCACCAGCCGCTTTCCCGACGTTCTCTGGGAAGGATGCGCCTCCGGTGGCGGTCGCTTCGACGCCGGCATGCTGCAGTACTTCCCTCAGATCTGGACCTCCGACAACACCGATGGCGTGGACCGCATTACCATCCAATTTGGAACCTCGCTGGCCTACCCACCATCGGCAATGGGCGCACACCTCTCCGCCGTCCCCAATGCCCAGACAGGCCGAACGGTCCCGTTCACCTTCCGCGCCCACGTGGCCATGATGGGGGGCTCCTTCGGTCTGGAACTCGATCCAGCAACTGTGCAGGATGATGCCGCAGTTCCGGAACTGCTTGCGCTGGCTCAAAAGGTCAACCCCTTGGTTTTGACGGGAGACCTGTACCGCTTGCGACTACCGGAGAACTCGGAGTGGCCGGCTGCACTGTTTATCGCGGAAGACGGGGCTCAAGCGGTCTTGTTCTGTTTCCAGCTCCAGCCAAATGTGAACCATGCCGCGCCGTGGGTGCGGCTGCAGGGGCTTGATCCGGCGGCGGAGTATACGGTGGATGGGGATGCGAGGTATTCGGGGGCCACGCTGATGAATATGGGGTTGCAGTTTACTTTCGACAGCGAATATGGTAGTCAGGTGGTATTCCTGGAGAGGCAGTGATGGTTTACATCACTCCCTGATCGTCCCAACCGTTTCTGTGCCCAGCCACCGTATATCCTTGACTTCCTCATGTTTACTGGCCTTGGAAACCAACATCGCCATGAAGTCAGTCGGGTTGCCGGACGGCTTATAAATTATTCTTTCATCTAGGGTAAGCGATCATTGTACATCATAGGCACAAATTAGTCCCAACCATATCGGCCAGTCCGGATGTGGCCAGGCGTCGCGCCGGGTAGTGCAAAGAGAATTTCCAATACCATGCTATCAGATCTTGATCAAAGGGTGCAGACAGCCTGGGTATCTTTATGAATTCAGGCATTGGCCGTGTAGGGCAGGGACCACTTGCTCAGCAAGATAAGGTACAGCACAATCAAGACTTTCCATGCAACTAACTCATTACTAGGTAACCCCATGGTCACTCACTTCCTTCCCAATTGTTCCTCACCCTCGCGGGGAGCCCTCCTCAGGCGATCCAACATCAGAGCCTGGTCATCGGGTTGGTCCTCGTCGCGGCCAGATCGGATCAGCTTCTCATACTCGGTGATCGTCATGGCATACTGCTTATCAATCAGGTCTGCACAGACTTCAATCAGCTTCCCGTCACCAAATCCGACGATGCCTCGCAGAGATTCCGCGAGTTCGTGGCATCGAATCCGCATCCACGTCAGAAAGTCCCGCATTTCGTGGCAGAATTGAGCGGCGCATAGTTTTTCTTTCTGTGCTCGTTCATCAGTCTCGTTCGACATCCTCCTTGCCCGAGCGCACGAAAGCATCGATCGGCCTACCTCCTTCGAAATCACCTTGAGCAAGTGGCCAAACACGGGCTTCATGGGCAAGGCATTCTTGGTCAGCTTGGTGCTGCGGATGGGGTCCAGAACTTCCAGGGTATCTGCCTTGGCGGTTGCCTGGGTCACGATGTTCTCGATGTCCTGGGTCAATTGCCGGATGGTCTGTAAAGTCTCGGGCGTAATCTGCGACATCTCGAGGGTTCTGTCAAGTTTGATGCCCGCTATTCCAAGTCTTTGCATTGTCTTGACGAGAGTGAGGAATCCTCCGCTGGGGGGAACCCTGTCGTCCGAGTCGGGGTCGCTCGGTTCGCCAGGCAAAGCAAGAATCGAGCTGAACAGGGTAGACGCGAAGGTCAAGAGAGTAACAATAAGATGTTTCATGATCGTTTTGATGGCGTCCCGGACCGAGTTCGTCCGGAAGAGCAATGATGAGGACTGGAAACGCCCTTCGATCCATTGGCGATAATGAATATATAGTACACCTTCATCCGGACTGACCAAATCCATGAATCTCGATCTATCGGTCCGGAGTTTCCCATGAGAACAGCATGGAACACAGAGTCTATGGTTCTCAACTGCCGATCTACTTCGAACGGGACCTGTGTCACTACTGAGACACGTCGTGCTGAGCGTATACACGGCTTGTTGCAGAACTTCAGTGGCACACGCGGTACAGTACGTACAGTGGACCCGGATAGAGGATCATGGGACTGGATATTCCTTCGGTGGTCAACCTTCTACTCGTTCGTATCGCACTAGCTCAAACATGATACTTTGTAACCCAAGCACATTCGACCACATCAGCGAAAAGGATTCGGGGTCTCCCCCCAGGGTCCCACGCCCGGCCCTTTAAAGAGCCTGCCGCCTTTCCATACATGGGTGATCACTTGATTGTCTTTCAGGATTCGGATGTCGTCCAGGGGATTTTCTTCCAGCGCAATAACATCGGCTTCATAGCCCTCCTTCAGCTGGCCCGTCAAGGGAGCCTGTGGACCGACGGACAGCGGGGCGTTGGCCGTGGCAGCCTGGATGGCTTGGAGAGGCGTCATGCCTGCCTTCTCGACGGCCAACTGTAGCTCCAACGCACTGGGCCCCCCGGGGGCTGTGTCGGTTCCCAGGGCAATGGTGACACCGGCCTTGACCGCTCCTTGGTAGGCTTTCAGATGCGAGTCGGCCAGGGCCTGCAACTTGCGCCACGACTCTTTGGGGAGTCCCTCTCCATTGTTGGCCAGGGCGACTTCGGTCACCGTCCGGGTGGCCACATACAGGACGCGTTTCTCTTTCATCAGCTGAAAGACCTCCTCGTCTGCCTCGGAGACATGCTCCAGACTTTTGCAGCCCGCGTGGATGGCCGCCAGAATGCCCGCTTTCCCATGCACATGCGCGGAGACGATGCGGTCCTGCCGGGTGGCTTCCTCCACCATGACCGTCAGCTCTTCGGGGGAGAATTGCGCGCATTGGGGGTTATCATCCCGGGACATGACCCCGCCGGAGGCCATGACTTTGATCACCTTCGCCCCCCGGCGGATCTGCAGGCGCACGGCGCGTCGGGCCTCCTCGAGCCCGTCCACGATGCACACGGGCCCTGCCCCCCAGTGGCCGGGGCGCGAACTCTGCACCCCGAAATTGCTCAGCACCTCCCCCGCGGGCAAGCCGAAGATGTCCCCATGGCCGGCCGTCTGGCTGATCGCCGCCCCGGCGCCGTAGACGTTGGGCCCGACGATCGAGTCATCCTCAATCGCTCGGGTGACTTCGCACCCATAGCCCGCCATGTCGCGGTAGGAGGTATAGCCACTCTGCAAGGCTTCCCAGCAGCCCCGCGCCAGTCGGGCGCCCGAGGATGCCGGGTGCGTGGCGAGAACGGCCGTATAGTCATTGTAGTATTGGTCTTCGCCCCCAAAATGCATGTGGCAGTCCCACAGACCAGGCATGAGGACGGCTACCGTGTGGCTCGTGTGCGGTCCGCGCAGATATCTCTTGGGGATGTCGGCTTGCAGGCCCACAAAGGCAATGATCTTGTCGCGGATGACCAAAGCCGCATTCTCGAGGGGAATTCCGGCTCCTGGTATCAGGATACTGGCATTCACAATGGTGATTCGAGGCTGATCGATGGCTCCTGCTCCTGCTCTTGCTTCCGGAGACCGCCGATGAACGTTCATGGAAATTGCCGTCGGTCGCATTGTGTAGGCTGAAGCCAGCGCCGCTGAAGAAGCGAGTCGCCGAACCATAATCAGAGGTGCGAATTGAAGGGGCTTATTGACATAGGTATGACAAGCTCCTGGGTGGACAGGGGGCAAGCATTTGAAGGCCGTGAGGGTGGGGGGGGGGGGTTGCTATCTCTTATCACGTGACCATCTCCGCGGACTGCCGTCGGAGGTCCGGCCCAGATCTGGACTCGCGCTTTGACCTGTGATACTGCAATTAAGTTTGTCCATTGTATGCTGACAACCTGCTAATAGTACATCGGGGCTAGCAGGGATGCAGTCTCTGGACTGTCGGGCGTAAACTGTGGTATGCATCATTTCGGGGAAGCAGGAGCCACACAGGTGGAAATCAATATTATCACTACAGAAACCTCGGTTGCTTGCTGACGATGCAACCAAAAGAGAACACCGTAAGCTACAACTTGGCCCTCTCCTGGGCATTCAATTCACGCCGCACGGGTCCGCCTCGACTGCCGTCTCCCAAGAAGACATCATCGCGAGCGGCATACTCGCGTCGGAATCGCCATTTCTGGGCCAATTCGGTCGGCAAACCCTTCTTCAAAGCCAGTGACAAATACTCGCCGAGGACGGGGAGGAACTTAAATCCACTGCGTAGTTGAGATCGTCAGCCTACACCTAGTACTGTACCTAGACGTGTTCGATGGCATAGTACTTACTGCCCACTGCCTGCTCCCCCAATGAACAGGTTCTTGTAGTCGGGGTGGTAGTCCATGATGAAGTCCCCGGTGGGCGTGTCCGTGTACCAACACAGGGCCAGCTTCTCAAAGGGTCGATCGGCCAGCTCGGGGAGAATCTCGCGCAGGCCGTCGCGCAGCCGGGCCTCCCCATCGGCGGGCACGAAGTTGCGGCGCTCGCGGGGCGGAATCAAGGGGGGCGCCGAGACATTCACCTGGTTGGAGAGGACCTCATCCGGGCCCGGCATGCGGGTGTAGCCCCATCCATGGACGGCGAATTTGAGGATACCCGTCTCCTCATGGGGAGGGAAATTAAACCAGCCCGTGGAGAAGTTGGCATACATGGGGAGATCCTTGTACTTGACCAGTTCCTCCGGGGTGAGGCGCAGAAAGGCGACCACCTGTCCGGTGGTCAGGGTGGAATTATACATGGGGACCAGGCTCGACCCCCAAGCCCCGGCCGTCAGGAGGAAGCAGTCGCCCTCAATGGGACTGCCAACCAGGGTCCGAACGGCCTTGATCTCGTTGGCATCATCGGTCTCGAGCCCGACGACCGTGCCTCGGCGACCGCACAGAAATGAGACGCCCAGCTCGAGACAGTCGTCGCGGATCTGACTGATCGCCTTGTTGGCATCGGCCCAGCCGGCCTGGGGGTTGAGATAGCCATTGAACGGGGGAGCGGCCAACGGGCCACTGAGGACGGGGTGGATCTGCTTGGTGGCGTGGACATCCTCGAGCCGGGTGAAGGGCAACTGCCGTCGGGTTAGGGCTGCGGTGGTGCTGGCAATCCAGGCCTGGCCGTGGGCACTGGTGTTGCCCGTCAGGATGAAGGGGGCGGGATAGAAGATTCCCCGGTACTTGGGCGTGGTCCATTCCAAGTAGGCCTGGTGGGAGATGCGCAGGTAGTCATCATCCGCATAATCGAAGCGGATCATGCGCGAGATATCGGAGCTGGAGCCATCGGCCACGGGGGGCATCGAGCGATCCAGCACCAGCACATTGCGGTACCCCTCCGACGCCAGTTGCCGGGCGGCCGCGAGGCCAAACACCCCCGCCCCAACAATCACAATGCGACTGTCTTTGTTGTTCATGATGAGAGAGGGAGAGGAGCGTGATAGTAGGGGGAGGGGAGGGGAAACCTTCAGGATCGATCAGATGTCAGAGTTTTCCCCTCCCCCACAGTATTCCCGTACTTCTTCCCATGGTTCTCTCCCGACTGGTTCCCATCCCCGTCGGCTGTTGTTGCGCCCCACCTGCTTTTGCCGACAGATCGATCGCCTTTCATGGGATTTCATGGGGACTGGACTGGACTGGACTGGACTGGACTGGAGATATGGGCGGAGTCTATACTCTGGCATATATTCCACATTACCTGGCTTGCGTCGTCTCCATCCGCAGTCAGCTGAGCTCAGCCTGGTTAGTGCGGCGATCCCCTCTTTCGTAGCCTCGTAAGCACTAAGGGATCTTAGTTGACCCACTTATCCAAGGCTGTAATCAGCTACTCGTACCAATAAATCCACTGACTGCGAGTCTTGACTCTCGTTGTTCCGTCCCCGTCCGCTTCCCTTCTCCTTCCCCCTTCCCCCTTCCCCTTCCCCACCACGAACCCCAACGCTAGGCCTGCGATAGGGCTGAGAAGACATCCCACTGCTGCTTCCCCTAGTCACCGTCATCAGGAACCCCCCTCGCAAGCGACAGCAACACGGTAGTCGGTCGAGAACCGGGGTCGAACCTGTCGGTGAGACACTCGCCACCACCAAATCAGAATCCCGCCGGCCGTCCAACCAACTAACCCTAAACCCCGCAATGCAGCGCTCGTTGCGTCAAATGCGATGAAACCCCGGGAAAAGGTGGCAACTGTACGTCGACCGGCGGACCCTGCGAAGGCTACGAGGTCTATCGATTACCCTTGCCAGGAGGGCCCAAGACCAAGCGAGGAGAGGATCCCTTACTGACCTCGGCTGCGGCCTGCCGCTTCCGCTGGGTGGTGACCTCGGATGAGCGTCGGTGCTTTGCATTCTTCTGCGATCGGATGATTCGCGATGCGGTGGCATTCCGTGACTCGGCGCGATGGCCGCGGATGGTGCTCGACATAGCCAACACCGACCCCGTCGTGTGTCACGCGGTGATTGCCTTGGGGGCAGCGCACCAGGAGACCGTTGCCGGCAGCATGCAATCACAATTAGCCCTAACGGCGCGACCAACCAGCTGGCATTGGGTCGCCAGCGCGCAGCTGGCGCAGGCTTTTGCCCTCTTGCGTCGGCGGAACCCGCACGATCCCCAGCTGAGAGAAGTCATGGTTCTCTGCTGCTTGCTCTTTGTTCTCATCAGTTTGATCCTAACCCCGACGGGACTACGACAGTGTCATCCGGCACCTCCGGAGTGGTCTCCGCATCGTGAAGGAACTGGAAGCCCGCATCAGCCCGACCCTGTCGCCGTCTTTCAACGCCTCGAAACGCAAGCCATCCATTTCGGCCTTGCGGATCATTTGCCCAAGCCGAACTACATGCACCTCCCCGCGAACCTCTAGTCACCCACACAACCAATCCATCAGACTCCCGACGCCCTCGAGCCCCTGCATCGTGAGGTCCTGCATTTGATGCTGCGCGGATGGGGCTCATCGGCCGAGATCATTGCCACCCACTACGAGGCGCTTCACGCCGCGCAACCCGCGCTGCTGTCCAAGGCCACGCAGACGCAAGCCAGCTTTGCGGGGGTTCAAGCCATGCACTACCGCACTCTCAGCTTCAAGGAGCAGCGCGGCGCAGACATCACGGAGTGGCTCTTACGGACCCATTCCTTGGGACTCCGCACTTGTCTGCTCAAGAATGATCCCGCCCGTCCTAAACCCTTCACCCCGGAATATGCCACCCATGTCACCATGGCAGAACGGACCATCGCCAGTTCCCGGAAAAGCCATCGCTGTTAGTGGATCTGGGCGTCATCCTGGCCCTGTATCACCCCGTCGAGGCGTGTCAGGATTTCACGGTGCGCTGGCGCGCGCTCCAGGCGCTGCGGTCCTGGCCCCACAACGAAGGCGCCTTTGACTCGCTGGTGGTGCTAACCGTGTTGTGGGAATAATTCCAGATCGAACTGAAGGTTCGAGTGGCGACTGATTCCGCAGTCTGTTGGAGTCCGATGTCGGTCCCAAAGAATTTGACGCAATGGTCAACCGCCAGGTCGAGGATCAATTGCGTCTCATCACGGGGAACGAGGATCGGGAGCTGGCGCAGGCGGGCGCATACCTCACCCACAGCATCGATTCGGACCACTCCATGAAAGCTTGGACCTGTGTGGGCAGATTACTGAACCTGAAAGCATAGTCAAAGCTCGATCTTGGCTACGGGAGCAGAAACCAAGTCGCATGAAGATTACCAGGAACCCACCACACCACCATCACCATTCGGGGTAGGACAAAGTACACGCAAGATGATAAAATATGATGAATGGATGAAAGAGCGTCGTGGTCTCTGTGACAGACGGACTGGTTGTATTTTCTGGCCGCGTTTCCTCCTTGTTGCGGACATCAAAGAACAAACATTGATTGGGCTCTGCTATCTAAGCCTCCTTAGCCTGCACTGTCGGGTCAAGGGAAACCGCAATAACCTACTCGGCACATCAAATAGTCACCATGTCGAACTCTGTTGGTGAGACTCGGAGTACCCCGACCCCCCGGCGCAGCCTCCAGTATCCGATGATCCATGTTATACCGTCATCGGCCATCAAGGCCTGCCCGAGAGATGCTCACGCCAGTCCCATATCCGGCTGAAATACCGGGGGGGTCGTCAGAGCCCCGAGTATTACCCCGTCAAAATGCCCCGCCCCGAACAATACGCGCACAACCTGGGGTACCTGATGCTACGGGATCTGAAGTACGCGGTCTATGCTTGTTGGGAAGACGAGCTCCGCTCCCTGCTGACTTTCAGTCTCGTGGGCGGCAGCCAGTACGAGCTGGATTGAATCCGAAGTGACCCGGGGTCACAGCAGGTGTCGGAGGGAAACATCCGGGACTGGATGGCACTGAACAGGATTCCTGGCAATGTCACCAAGCAAGGTGCACGCCGGCATCGGGCAGCAATCCATTCCCGGTTCGCGGGATTATACCGGGAGATGCAGAGGGCTGGACGACTCGGCCAAACTCTTCTCTCCCCTGTCGACGAAGAAGAGGATGGGATAGGCCCAAGGGACGTCGAGGACCTGCTTGAGCAATGGGCGCAAGTCTCAGTCGGGTTGAGGAAAAGGACTGAGCAGAAACGGACAGAAGCGGAATTTGTCAATTAATGTAAGGTGGGGATGACTAGATGAAAGTAGTTAGTCAGGTGCCTTGATAAATCAACATGAATCAAGCTGATAATGTGTCATGGTGCATTTTTGTGTATTCAACTTATTTGGATTATTCTTATCATGGTTACTAACACCATGATATATATATGGCCAGGCAACCGCCTGAACATGAATATAGCGTGCTAAGAACTGCAGGAGGTCAGCTTCATTAAGAGATCTCCTGATCACGGTCATCAGATCTCCGGTACAGTGTACATTCCTGCCAGCTCATCAACTTTGTGGCAATTGATACTATTTTGTAGAGAGACAAAATGAGATTATGCTAGAAAATGTCCCCGTTCTCTGGACTTCTCACGCTAGCGCCTACGGTTGACAAGACATGCAGCGAGAATTCCCCCATATAGCAGCGAATGATATGGGTTTGAATGGTGCGAACCTTCCTAGTCCAAGCTTTCCCATCTAGTACGAGCAACTGCCCTCCTGCTCCTCCGACCAGGGCTGCCACTGGGGCGCACTACCCTCTTCCCAGCTCCCAGTCGGCCAGGACTTAACAGAGGAGGTCTTGGAGTGACCCTGAGTGGCGAGAGTGGTCCGTTGACCGGCTGCGGTAGCCCAGCTTGGGGCCTGGCTGGTGGAAGAAGCCACCTTGGCCTCGGTAGCGACAGGAACGACAGAACTGACGACGGCCGTGTGAGCAACGCTGGTCTCTGCAGCTGCAGCTGCAGCAGTGGTGGTCTCCACAAAGACGGCAGCTGCACTGGAAGTAGCAGCAGCCGCGGCGTGAGTAGGAGAAACACTCGCAACCGTGCTAGAAGTAGCAGCAGCAGCAGCAGCAGCAGCAGCAGCACTCGACGAGCTGCCGCTAGGCGACATGCAGGCAAAGCTGATCTGCTTGGTGAACTTGGAAGAGTCGGCCTCGTACACCACCACGGACAGATCCCAGTCCATGCTCACATACGGCCAGCAAATGCGACCGTCGGACATGGTCACCATGTCACCCGCGATGTAGACATCGGTGCTGGAGAAAACATCCCCCACCTTCTGTCCACTCGCATCCACCTGTTGGAAGAAGGTGCCGGCAAATTTGCCCTGGCAGCCCATGGCAATGTAGTCACAGGTCGGGTCAGAAATTTCCTCCCAAGTAATCAGGGCCGAGCTGTTCCCAAAGGTAGCGGTATGGGCGTTGGAGCAGTCGTTGGAGCCGGAGGTGACCCAGGTCACTTGGCTGTCCCCATCCTCGGCGCCCACGGTCGAGGTTGCCTGGGCGCCTACTTTGGTGTACTTGTCGGAGAACAGAGCCAGGGCCACGTTGCGGGGATTGGTGCGGTTGTTGACGTGGGTGTATCCATCGCCCATCCAGCTATTCTCCGTCACGTCGATCGCACCCCGCGACACCCAGGTGAAGATGTAGCGACTGCTGTCGGCAAAGCGCGCCAAGCCGCTGTAACTGCCGGACATGCCACCCATGGGTTCTCCTGAGGCACCGTTGGTGGTGTTCTCGTTGGCGATCTTGACCCCGTTGTTGGTCATGCCCTGAGTCTGGGTGTTCAGCCAGATGGCCCCCTGATCCTCCGCACAGATACTGGCAAAGGGAGGCTCGTCGGCCGCTTCGAAGGCAATGCCGGTGTTGTGGCTGCAACCCCAGGCGCTGGAGGCCCCACTGATGTCCAACAAAGTTCCATTGGTGGCCACGTACTCGATGCTGTCGCCGTAGTGACCCTCGGCCCAGCCGGAGTAGTCACTGACCACAAAGTAGGCCCCGTACATCCCCGCTTCTTCCGAGTAGACTAGGTCGCCGTTCATGTCCACCGCTTCGGCCAGACCATCCGAGGCATGCACATCGGGGCCCCCCAGCCAGGTCTTCCAGGTCTGTTTCCCGTTGGTGTAGCGGTGCAAGACAGGGACGGGGGTGTCGCTGGGGGGCGCGTTGGTGGTGCCGGACGGCATCACCTCGTTGGTCAACAGCGCAAAGCCGTCATCGTGGGCCACGAGACCGCCAGCTATCGTGCGAATTAGCTTGCCTGTATGTCAACCAGACCTCACGCTCCAGCACGACGTACCTTCCTTACCCCCACTGACCGTCACGGAAGTGCCCGTGGCCTTGAAAGTGGTGGGGTCCAGCTCGGTGACATGGACATCGGTTCCGCTCGAGTCGAGGTAGGCCAAATAGGCCGTCTTGCCGTTAGGCGACACCGCAAAAGGGGTCCGACGGTGATGAGCCAAGCTAGTCCAGTAAGCCGCTTCGATCGGGTTGAAGGAGTTGTCGAGTGCCAGCACATCGACATGGGTTTCGAGGTTGGATGCGGTCAAGCCGGCAGAGGCGCCCAGCGCCGCAGAAAGCAAAGAAAGAGGGAAAAGCCCACGCATGATGGAGGGCGGTAGTTGGTGAAGCTGCTGTCTGCAAAGGAGGTTGACAGTGATCTCACCCCTTGGGATCCTGGGGTAGATATAGTTGCGGGCAACTCTGCTATCCCTGACTCCACCTAGCCGGGTGACCCTGGAAAGGTGCAAGGCCGAGTGTGCTGTGGTGTCAGGGTCTGTCGGAGATTGACCTGGATGGTTCAGGGTGATTGATGTCTGGGGCTCTGTTCGTTCATTGGCTCTTGTGGAGTAAATCAACAGGGGTGGAGTCCTGGGTGAGACCTTCAATGGGTAAAGAAGGGTATAAAAGGGTATATGAGGGGGAAATGAGGTTTCATTTTAATTCTGCAGCCCGGCCTCGGCCCAGCCCTAAATCAAGAACATGCTATCTCCACATTAGCCTGTATGATCGAAACCCAGTCAACGAAATTAGACATAGGTTAGGTAGTTCCAGAAAGGTGGTTTAACCGGCACCTCGGTGGATTACTCGAAATGATTAGGTGGTGGCCATGAGGGATTCTCCTGAAGCTGTCATCCATGCGGTCAAGCCTGGCGCCGTGCGGCCGCGATGAAACATCCGCCAACTACGACTGAGACACTGCGATTCATGGCATTTCTCGGCACCTCTGCGTATCTCGCCCCCTAGGCTTTCTCTCCTCCTTCCTTCCTTCCTTTCTTGCGTGCTGGTCCTGCTCGCCCGCTGTATCCTGGTCAGGTCAGATTGACTTCAGAGCTTAAGGTTAAGGTTGCTGCGGATCAGCATGAGATCACCAGTAGGCGTAGACACCCTGCATCTTTGTGTTTTATATATTTTTATATATATTTCCATAATTCTTTTATATTTTTTATAATTTTTTCACATTTTTGTCTCCTGTCACGCTCGATCGGAAAATTAATGGCCGAATGGTCAATATTGCTGGTACGCTAGTCCTCAAAAGAACATGGAACATCGGAACATCGGAACAACATGGTGCCCGATCAGGCCGAAGCACTCAGAGCCTTGGTGCCTGGGGCTTCCAATGACTCGGGAAGATCCGACTTGGCAATGGCGATCGGGATAACGGATAACCTCGATCTCGATTCACCTCCATACTATACATATACACATACTAACCTATAAGTATATGTACTAAGGGGTATGATGAAAAGGCTTACTGAATTAGTTGAAGTGTAAAGACTCGGGACCCAGAGGTTCAGCCTCCCACCAACAACCAACCAACCTCCCTCCCAACCTCGACCGTGCTCCACCCGGAAAAAGTCACTCCAGTCACTCACTCACTCCAAGCGATGATGACGCGGCAGGCAACAAGGTTTTTATTGTCTCGACAAAGGCTCAGCCAACATGGCCGAAGTCCGTAAGTCGGTCAGTTCAGGTACCAGTACCACCAGACTAGCCAAGCTTTTTCTCGACTCAAGCCCACGACGTCACTCCCTCCATTCTTCCCGTTGTATTTGATCCCGTCGACACCCACACCCGCCCTGCCAAGTATCTCCACGCGAAACATACCACACTGGCAATGATGTGGTTCTTGCTGTTCATTTTGCAGGCGCTCATACTCCGGGTGAGCGCCAGATCAACCACCTCCGACCTAATCACCACCACCACCACCACCACCACCTCATCGGCCGAGACTGGCTCGGACATTCTCGTGGTCGTTACCTCCGCCTCGGCGGTGGTACCCACTGGCAGTTATCTCAGCTTTACTACCACTATCACACTGGCAGCCCAGAATGGGTCGCTGTCGACGGCTTCAGTTGCCACTGTGGTGCCATACTCCACGATCAGCAATGGCACAGCAACGGTGACAGGTACCACTACTACGACCGACACCGCAGTGCAGCTCAGCGGCACGCGGGTCATGACCACCACCAACAGCAGCAGCACCGCCACGGCCGCCACGGCCGCCAACTCCCAGCCCTGCAATGGCTACGCCGAATTCTGCGAAAGAAAATACTCGAACATCACGATGGTGACCGCTCACAACAGTCCCTTTGTGAAGAAAAACAATGTAGCCTCCAATCAGGCATACCCCGTTCGCACTCAGCTCGATGACGGCGTACGCATGGGTCAGTTTCCCCACCCTCATTGCCCACCACCCTCCCACTCATTTTCAGGCAGTCTCCTTCGAAGCGCATTACTACCAGGATGAGATCTATCTGTGTCATACCTCGTGCGAACTGCTGAACATGGGCACCCTGGAGAGCTACCTCACCAATGTCACCGACTGGGTCAAAGAGAACCCGTACGACGTGGTGACGGTGCTGATTGTCAATTCCGACTACGTGGATCCCTCGAACTTCACGGCCCCCATCCAGAATTCCGGCCTAATCGACTACGTGTACGAACCGTGGAAAATGCCGATGAATGTCAGCGACTGGCCGACCCTGTCGGAGATGATTCTGGCCGAGAAGCGCGTGGTCGTTTTCATGGACTATCAGGCCGACCAAAGCTCGATCCCGTACATTCTCGACGAGTTCAGCCAAATGTGGGAGACGCCCTTTTCTCCTCTCAACGCCTCGTTCCCTTGCACCGTGCAGCGACCGCCAGGGATCACCACGGCCGAGGCCGAGGAGCGAATGTACATGATCAACCATAACCTCGACATTGAGGTGATGTTGGAGGGGCTTGAGATTTTGATCCCCGATACCGCGCAGTTGAACACCACCAATGCTGTATCCGGGTTCGGCAGTCTAGGGCTAATGGCCAATAATTGCCGGGGTAAGTGTGAGACTCGAATCATCCTGTGACACACTCATCACTGACCTGGAATATATATTGTGGCAGCCAAATGGGATCGTCCCCCGAACTTCCTCCTAGTCGATTACTACAATGATGGCAACTTCCCCGGATCGGTCTTCGAGGTTGCCGCCCAGATGAACAATGTCACGTATAATGGCAAATGCTGTGGCGCTACGAGTGCGGCTGCACGCCAGGTCAATGCTGCGAGTCTAGGGGCTTTGGTGCTGATGTTCTGGGCTGGAGTGGCCCTTGTATAAGATTTGCTATGATAATCAATGTGGTAAAACTTTCATAGTGATGGTTTGAGCAATGGTTGCAACCAAAACAGCCCTTTAGGCAACAGGATCTGCACTTGCTTTCCTGCGTCCATCAACACAAACAAAAGGGAAAACCCGAACGAAATCCAGAATAGTAGCTTGTCCATTTATACCTTCCTCATTTGCCCTTCAGCGTCCCTGTCAGAAAGAAGGGAATGAATGTGCTCCCGACATCGTCCGACTAAATTGCAACCCCTCTCCTCCATGACCCGAATCCTCTCCTCCAACCACCGGTCTGCCTTGGTACACACTAATTCCCAGATATCGCTCGAACCTTGACATCGTCCGTGCAAGTATTCAATGGCTATGACTGTGGCAAGGAGGCATCCGTCGTCACAATTTGGGAACGCTTGACTCGGCTGATAGCCGGCCTGCTGCCACCAGCGCATAAACTGCCCACGCATCAGAGATTCATCCAGCTCCAACACCTCGAAAAGCTCCGGTGACCATCTCCAGCTTCCGTCGAAGACCTGCAAGTCAAACACGCGATACATCCGTCGGCGAGATGCGCCGGGGACAATCGCAGCTTGGGGAACTGCCACTGGGAGACTGCCACCGCCTCGTAGGGTGGGAAGCTCGCCACCTCTGGGACCTGCTGTCCCGCCCCCTCGCCCGCCCCCTCGTACACCACCTCTGGCACCGCCTCTCCAACGACTCGACATAGCATAACACTTCCGTGGGGAACTAGGTAAGACATGTCCCATCAATGAGTCTGGACCCGTGTCCTGTCGGTGTGGGAGAGTCACCACGACAGTTGAAGCAGACAACGAGCATTCACCTGACAGAAGAGCGCTTTCATCGACTGCCAAGAAAGACGTGTAATGGCCAGAGAGCTGGTACTGTAGTCCTAGACGTTGACATTCTTGTCTAGCTAGCCTTGACTTGGTTACAGGATGGTAGGGCTGGCCATGCTGGTCCTTGACATCGGCTATCCATCCGCCAGACTCTTCTAACTCGATGATCATCTTTCGGGCTGCAAGTTGATGAATGGTCTTGCCACAACCCACGTCTTCCACGGGAATGTCCAGTGTCAGTGGGCCGTATTTGGAGGTAGCACGAATAGTCAGCGAGCGTGGAGTTCGAGAGGTTGCGAGGAGAAGGTAAACCGTGGTTCGAATGGACGGATAGAGGGTGGGAAGGTGGTGTGGAGCTTGGATGATACCCGGAGGCTGCACAATCGGAGGCTCGCTCAAGGAGATATCAGTGTCATATTCCCTTAGGTCGGGGTCAAAGAGCAGGATAGGTCTCCGAGGGGACAATTTCGGGGAAGTGGTGAAATCTGGCTCTTGCACTGACTTCTGCTCTTCATAATCAACCACCTCAAACCCATCATTCGGCTCCTCGTCATTGACACTTAGAGAATAATCATAGATGTGCGGACTCAGAGCCCCCTTGAGCATACGCACAACGGTGCAGTCCAGCTCCTCATGAAGCATGATCGACTGGGCAATCCCATTTCCGGCACGTGCGATACCATCCACAAGGGCATGAGAAGCAGAGGGACCGATGCCTAAAGCGAAGAAGCGAGCTGTGTGGTTGGAAGCAGTGGCGCGGATGAAGTCGAATAACTCTTGCTGTTGGTAAATCTGTCCATCGGTGAGAATCAAAACCTCCAGCTCCCGTCCCTTGAGACGACGCTTCACAATTGCCTTGACAGCAGCCGTCATCTCCGTGCATCCCATGTCTGCATCCAGGCAGTCCACCAGAGCCAATGCTTTCTGTAGACCGGGGCCGTCGTAGCCTCGGCTACGAGCCCAGAGAAATTGGTGCTGCGTCCCGAATGAGCAGATGTTGAGATAGGTGCCAACGGGCACTGACTTTAGAAAGACCCGCAGAGCAGACTTTAAGGTGGAAATCTTGTCCCACATGCTGCCACTGCGGTCAATCAGAAAAACCACTTCCGGGTCGGACGCAGGGATGTGAAAACGGGGCACGAGGGTAGCCATTATGGCGCGCTGGTTGTGGAATGTGGGATGGCATTCGATCAAAGCGCGAGGAACATCTGTCTTGTCGGCTTTAATCACCAGGACAAAGTCTCGCTCCAATATAGGGCTTTCACCGGCAATATGCAACGTTGTAAAGGCACAGCTCTTTGCGAACTCGGTACATTCCGCGGGAGTGGATGAAGTCCGGCCCAGTCGGACGCGGATGGGATGGCTGGGTGAATGCACCGTCCGAATTGCGGTATCATTCTCCATGAAGACGTCTACAACTATGTCGACGCATTGTTTGTCCACAGGGTCAATCAGAGCGGACACGACCTGATCCATCCTATATCCATAGCGAGTGGCAATGTCATTTGGCAAGGTGTATCGAATGCCCTCGGTTTGCCCGTCGGTCTTCAGCTCCCCCACAAATGTGATGCTCACTGTAATGGTCTCCCGAGGAGGCACATTGCCCAGCCGCAGCAGAAAAATGTCCGAGTTTTGACTGGACTGATCAAGCACCCCAACTGAGGCGCCGCGCGAGACGGCGATTTGATAGTCTTGGCTAGCCTGTTCTTTGGTCTTGACCTCGCTGCGCAGGACCCGATCGCCTACTTCACATCGAAATCCGACGACACTAACCCCGTCATAGAGTGGAAACCGATACGAGACCTCGTGAAGCTGCCTAGGTCCCGGGTTCTTGAATATCTGGGTCAGAGTTGTGCGCGAGCTGGTGACTCGTAGGACCGCATGGGCTTTGAGGGCAACCTGTGGTATATACTGCCAGGCGTAAGTCTCGCGCTGAAAATAGTAACAACCGCAGATCATATTCATTGTGCTATGATATATCGAAGCGCTGTCGCTGTCGACGAAGCTGGTGCTGGGTTTGCTGATTTGGTATGATGAGCGTGGTTCGTGTGGGTGACTCCAGCCCATGTATAAATATTCCCTGACGACGCGGGAATACTGACTCATTCAGAGGCCACATACGCCTCCTTGGTTGAGGATTGATGGTGAGTGAAATAGGGCTGGCATGCCATGGTTGATTATCTGCTACCCAAGGTAGTTGGCACCGGATCATGCCCCCGAACACAGCCATTGTGTCATGTCCAGCGAACGGAGTGACTCATGCACCTAATCTTCTCGCTTCAGATGATCAGAAAACTAGAATCCGCCGCTCTGGACCGGGCGAATTGGATCCAGGTTACATTGGGGCTCAACTCTGTTTCCCAGTAAGCCTTCAGAAAGGCCAGCACGCGATCCCGGTCCAGCCGACCACTGATCCGCATCACGAACAGCATTGCACGTTCTACCGTCGTCTGTTTGGCGGGGCATCCTCTGCACTCCGTGCCCGCGATGAAAAGTGGCCAGACCAGATCTTGAGCAAACGACGTGCTGTCCGTCAGGCAAGAGACGTGGTCCAGCACTGCGTCCCGCGATATGACAATGAACGGTTCTTCGGCGGAACTATCCCCTAGGGCCCGATAACTATATATCAAGCACGCATGGTAGTACATAGAGGAAAGATGGTCGAAATCGCGCTGTGCTTCAGCCGACGTGAATTGGATACGCTGACTGAGCAGCAAAGTCCTGGACCTCGCCGCGTCAATCTCTTCCCTCATATCCTCCAGTGTGGGCATGATAGCGTTGGGATTCGCAGCGTGCTTCTCCCGCTCCGCACGAGTGACCGTCTGCATGACTTGAACAAAGTCGCTGAATACGGTTAACGTATCGTGGGTTTGAATCGTTTTCGTGATGTCCTCCGAAGGGTCGAAAGTCGTCAGACTCATGAACACTGAGGAATAGTAATACTCGTAGAGCAGAAAGACATCCGCTTGGTCATCCACATGGCGACGAGCGATGGCCTGTGACATCCATTGGATGACTGCGCGTGCCCCTTGGATATGTACTCGCCAGCGCGCATCCTCGGCCGTAAGCAGCTCCACGTTGTACAGAAGCAGAATTGCGGCGAGAATACATCGTACCTGGAGAGTATGCCCTGGTAACGCCAAGGCGTTCCGTGGCAGCATGTTCAGCTGCTGTCCGAGAAGCGACAAGGTCTTGCTTTTATAGCCAAATGAAGCAGCCTGCAGTCGGCGCAGCCGGTACCCGGTTTCGTATCGAAGGATCAGGTCTTCCGAAGCCATGGCGAGAACCGAGTAGAAGACCACAGGAGACGAATGCGTCAATTGCATGACGATGTTTCGCCAGGGGTTGTCGGGCCCATCGACCCATGCGAGCCTTGTCGCGACATGCTGGTCAAAATGGGCTAGCAAGTGGGACACGAGGGTCTCAGCCGGACTCTCAAGTTGAAAATCGATCTCCGACCCCGGGGGCTCGGCAATCCGCAACCGAGAGTGTCGCTCTTCCTCATTCTTATTCTTCTCGTTCTTCTTGGGCACGGGGATTGCCTGGCCGCTAAGTTTGCCACGACTGGCCACCCCTTGCACCCATTTAAACACCGGCCCATAGCCTGGACAGTCCAGATTACGGGAGATGCATTTCCGGCACTGGGGTACTGTTCTATCACATTGGATCCGTCGCGATCTGCACTTTGAACAGTCTGGTGGTCTCCCCCTCGCGGTTAGTGTGGCTGGAGGTGAAGATGCTGGCCAGATCCGGGTGACTGACCTTTGTCAGAAGAAGTGCCTGGGGGTAAATGGCTGAAGACGCCTAGCATCAGGCGGGATGATATGTCAATAGCTACGTCGACCGCCGGTTGGTTGTGACGGCCAGGCTGATGTCGAGGGTGAATGCTCGACTTTTTGCTGGGTCATGTGATGCCCCACGTGATCGGGCGGGGTTCTGGCCTTTGAGGAATAAAAGTACAGTACAGTATAGGGAGGGGTTATGACACGTTTTCAATAGTGGAGGTTCAAGATAACTAAGAATAGTAAATGAGCATTGCTCGGGTTGAGAGCCTCTCGAGACGGACCCTCCCTCTCATCCCGCCACCTCCATTGGGGTGATATTCGAGATCTCCTGCTCCTGCATCCCATTCAACAAATAGCCCTGTTCCTCCCACCCCTGCAGCGTAATCCCATACAGTCGACCTTGTTCATCTGGTGAAGATACCCCATAAGATTTACCACGGCGGACCCGTGAGGTGCCACACTCCACCAGCGTGATTTCGTCATCCTCCAGAGCAGCGGTCATGTCATACGTGCGATACTCAGTATTGGCCCAGCCCGTTCCTTCGTACACACAACTGTCTTCCCAGTCCTCGGTCAGGAAGTGTAAGAAGGCCCCATGCGTGACCACCACCACCTCTGTTTCCGGCCTCTCGTAGAGCCACCGTCTGACGGCACGAGCCCGCTCTTGGATGGCTTCTCTGGTGGGCTTGTATCGTCCGTCCTAGATATGATAATGATAGGGGTCCAAAGTCAGCCCCAGTGGGTCTTTCCGGCGGCCATCGGGTGTCCGGGTTGTACTCACCTTGCTCGTCCACCCTTCCTCGACATGGCTCCAATCGATGTGAGTCCCCAACTCCTCTGTTTTCGCTTTCAGTGCCGGCAGCTCACTCCCAATGTCACAGGGGAAGCTACTGATCTCCTGGAGATCGGGCAATGCTACTAGACTCGCGTCGGGGAGACGATCGAACAGCGGCTGGAAGCTCTCCACGGCGGTGGCTAGGGCACGGAGCATGGGGGAGGCTACGACAAGTTCGACGCGGTGATGTGAGAGGAAATTCGCTCGGAGCTTAGAGCACTGCTCTCTGCCCTGATCGGTCAGAGGCGGGTCTACGAGAGACCAATAGGCCATCCCGAGATTATGCACGCCCTAGAGTTGCTTGTCGGTCACGTTAGAAATGGGAAGCAGATGGCCATGAATCGCACCTCTGCGTGGCGGACCAGGTGCAGTCTGGGAGCCATGGCCAAGTGGGAAGCCCAGAATCGAATGTGAAGAGAGACCCAAAGGCAGGCCGATCTGGGGGAGATGAAGAGGGTTGGGAATGGAGAGAGGAGGGGCAGGGCGAGGCAGGGCAGGGCAATGCTTTTTGTTTTGGATTTGGAGAGAGAGAGAGGGCTGCACTTGCAGCCTGGAGAAGCGGGCGCAGTTCAGGCATCCACGGTGGAGTTGCAAAAAGCCGCCAAAGCTTAAATTTCCAGCTTGGCTGCCCTTTCGAGCTTAGCCTGGCGGCCCTTTTGGGCTTAGCCCGGCTGCCACCTGGAACTATACGGTGATGGCATCAATATCTTACATATGGAACCATTGTGGCTTCAACTTCTTCTTAAGCAACCCCTCCCTCTGTGAATGTCTGTGAATCTCTGTGAATTCTGGAGTCTCTTCGATCACCAAACCCCTAGATGTTGACCAACTATGGCCGAACCACGTCTCCGCTTAGATCTAGACACTCCCACCTCCCACCTTATCCTCGTCCACCCGGATAGCGGATCATACTCTCAGCCTCTATCGGGCTCGCTTTGGATCTCAACCGAGTCTCTCACGAGGGACACCCTGAACCCTTCCGAAATCACCGTCAGTCTTCTACGAATCGTGGCGATTGCAGCCAACAGGCTAGCGCGCAGAAAGACAGGAGGTCACCAGCGATATTCTCTCCCATTCAAACGTCGGACGAACTCACCCAGAACAGCTCGGACGACGACTCGGACATATTGCGAGACCGTGCTCGAGTGTAACCTCTGGTCCTCGCCGAATGCCTTCGCCACGTCTCGAAGCGCAATCACAGACACGAGTCTCAAGTTGCCCTTTTGTGTACCAGTGCCGGATAACCTTCCTGCCACGACGACCACCGACCTGGGGACCATCAGCTACGCGATCCGAGCCACGGTAACTCTGGCCTCGGGGGAATCACAAATCTCATGCAGACCGCTAGGGATTTCCTACCGCCTCATACCCAGCTCATATCTCCCAGCCAAACACATTCGGAGGTTTCCCCAATCGCCTCTCATCTTCGACGTCAGCATCACACAACGACAGCCCCATCACAGCACGACCAGAGCTCAATTCTCTGTGGCACTGCTGGTCCGGAATCTATATACTCTCGGGGACCGAGAGGGGGAAGCGAAGTATGTGACAGTCAACGCAGTCAAGTGGGAAGTGGAGGAAGAAGCGGTTCTGACAGAGATCACCAGCGGGGACCGGCATACAAGCCTCAGTCCTGGTCAGAGGTCGACGCGGGCCTTGAGTCGCGGAGAGGACAGGATCCCGTGGTCAACCAGCAACTACCGACGGTCCAACCTACCGAGTCGGACGGATGATCCGGCTCATATCCAATTCGAGATTACGATACCACAAAGTGCCAATGCTGCGGATGACCCAGACCTAGAGTCACTGGCCCGAAGTCGTGGGCGGCTTCATCCGAGTGCGGTGGCCAAGACCCCAGCCATCACCGTCGACCACCACCTCAAGGTTGAAGTCATCACGGGGGAGGATACTGTGAATAACCGAACGAATCGTTTGTTGGACCGAAGGACTTCGGTCAAGTCCTACGGGGCGATCTTGCCGCTACGCATCCAACAGCTAGCTAGCAGCAGTGACAATCTGTACGCCGACGTCTTCGGCGAGGAGCTCCCAGCATTTGAAGTGGCTCAATCGCTATCGCCGCCAGGCTATGAGGCAGGGCTAGCGGCGGCCACGTAACGCTCCGGTGGCTAGACAAGGACGAACTCTTAACAGGCATTGACCGATCTTATAACCATATACTCTAATACACTTCACTGGACCCACTCCTCCGCTGCCAACTGTACCGTACTGTACACGTGTGGATAATGCCTGCTGACATAAGCTATGCCACTAGTGAACTAGTTGTGCCCTGGTCTTAGAGTTCTCCGGACTATGAGGTGATGGATGGGTGCGTGATGCAACAATCCACCCAAATAGGCATTTAGTCCGGGCGAATGACTCCACCAAGCTTGCTGCCTGCAGAATCACCAATGTGACCGTCGGAGATGCTTGCAGAAAACGGTCTACCGTCCCTGGGGGGCAATTTATGCGGCAGGACCGGCACGGAGGAGGAAGCACGGCGAGGCCAACGCTTTCCCCACGTGCTTGGCTGATCAGGTACCCTAATCAATGTCATTCCATGTCGTCCCAACTCCAGCCCCAAACAGAGGCTCGGACCGAGGCACGTTCGACCTTAATCTTGATTTTGCATCAAAGAAGAATCATGCAAGCTTGGATCTGCAAGGTCCAGCGTGCACTTGGTGGCACTGGATCGGGCCAGTCTCGACGGCCGGATTACGCCTGCCAGCGACTATAAATTCGAGGCATATCAGAACAAGCCACAGGATCCAAAGCATCAGACTCAAGCGACACCACCGATGATGCACCAGTCCACTTTACTCAAGGGGCTCCCCTGGTTGGCGGTTGCAGCCCTGGCCGTGGATTATCCCACTCTGCCTAATGACCTGACCACCCCGTACCAGCAGCGTCTGGCGATCATGGGGCCTACATGTGAGCACCTCCTTTCCCAACGACAACCAACTGCCGATTCCTAATCGAATCCTCGGTCTAGCGGTCTCAATTGGGTGGAACACCTATGAGAAGCTGAACTCAAGCTGTGTCGAATACGGCACCTCCAGCAATGACTTGAGCCAGCAGGTCTGCTCGACCAAGTCGACAACCTATGCCACCTCGCGCACGTATTCCAACGCCGTGACTTTGACAGGCCTCACGCCGGCTACCACGTACTACTACCAGATTGTGTCGGGCAATTCGACGGTGGAGCAATTTCTCAGTCCCCGGACCCCGGGGACAAGACCCCCTTCAGTTTCGACGTGGTGATCGACCTGGGGGTGTACGGGGCTGACGGCTACACCATCTCCAGCGACTCCTCCACGAGCAAGCGCGAGACGCCGTACGTTGAGCCCGACCTCAACCACACCACCATCGGACGAATGGCCGCCACCTTCGACGACTACGAGCTCGTCATTCACCCGGGTGACTTCGCCTACGCAGACGACTGGTATCTGAAGCTGAAGAACCTGCTGGACGGCAAGGACGCCTATCAAGCCATCCTGGAGCAGTTCTACGACCAGCTCGCTCCCATCGCCGCCGGCAAGCCCTACATGGTCAGTCCGGGCAACCACGAAGCCGACTGCGACGAGCTGTCGCTGCTCATCGATCTCTGCCCGGAGGGGCAACGCAACTTCACCGACTTCATGCACCGGTTTGACGAGACGATGCCGTCGGCCTTCGCCTCGTCCTCCACCAACACGACTGCGCAAAGCCTGGCCGCGACCGCGCGCACGCTTTCCAACCCCCCGTTCTGGTACTCCTTCGAGTACGGCATGGTGCACTTCACCATGATCGACACCGAGACTGACTTCACCGACGCCCCAGACGGCCCGGACGGCTCCGCCGGGCTGGACGGCGGGCCTTTCGGCCAGTCCCAGCAGCAGCTGGAGTTCCTGGAAGCGGACCTGGCCAGTGTCGACCGCAGCGTGACCCCGTGGGTGATCGTGGCGGGGCACCGACCGTGGTATTCGACGGGCAGCTCGAGCAACATCTGCGACGCGTGCCAGGAGGCCTTCGAGGATCTCCTGTACAAGTACGGGGTGGACCTGGGGGTGTTCGGCCACGTGCACAACTCGCAGCGCTTCCAGCCCGTCTACAACGGCACCGCCGATGCCAACGGGCTGAATGACCCGGCGGCGCCCATGTACATTGTCGCCGGGGGAGCGGGCAATATCGAGGGCTTGAGCTCGGTCGGATCCGAGCCCGCGTACACGGCGTTTGTCTACGCCGATGACTACAGTTACAGTACCGTGCGGGTGCTGAACGAGACGCATCTGCAGGTGGACTTCATTCGATCCGAGACGGGTGCGGTTCTGGACTCCAGTGTGCTGTACAAGAGTCATAGGGAGCAGTTCGTGGTGCAGTAGAGGGGATTAGGTAGAATAACAGTGGTATTTGGCATTGAGAGATTATGGAATCAAAACACGCTGCTGTACAGACTGTGAAGCTGGAAGTAATGCGACACCCGACACACACGCTAGACCATCCATCCTTTTCATTCCACTCTTATCCTAGATGTAGCGAATCTGCCGAAACGATCGCACCATCATATACACGCCATGCAGGGTGGCGAAGATCCCCGCCCCTGCAACGCCCCAGGCCGCGGCCTGCACCCGCAGCGAACTGAGCGGAATGTGGCCGGGTTCGAAGCTATCCCGGCGATAGGTATCCGAGCGTACGATGTGCTTTCGACGCTGGGAGGGATCTATTGCCTGCACTCAGTGATGAGGTTCTTGGTTGTCTCTGGTTGTATCTCGTTCAACCCTACCCGCTGACTGGATGCGTTGGCCGAGGTTGGACACAGCTGGCCTCGAGCGACTGATAAATGCCTGGTACATGGCTGAGTTTGGTTTCGAAGTGCGTTCTGGGTGTGGTCAAGGAGGACTTGGGACGTCTAGCATCAGCAAGAGTCAAAGTGGGTGGAGAGGGGTCAGGGTCGATTTTATCTGGTGGCAGGGCAGTGGCGACAATGACGCGGTGAAACTGGAGGAAACTCTTTCAGACCCATGGATTACAACCGAGCCCGCTCGTGATGCGACAGTAATCTCCCCACGCTATCAATAAACTCCTGCTGATGGGTAATATACCCCAAATGGCCCCCAGGCATGTCCACCACGGGCAGGTTCAGTCGGTCGGACAAGACGCAGATCGGCTGTGCGGTCAAATCCGGGGATTCTTCCACCCCGCGCATGAGCAGCAGCTTGCCCCGATGGTCCAGGAGACCCTCCGGCTCGAAAGTGGTGAACTGCCGCCATTCAACCATCTCGACCCCAAAGTACCAGTCCTGGTTGCTGGGGGGGATCGACATCAGCTGTTTGAACACCGGCGAGCCCACGAACAGCTCTCGATCGCGTTTACTGCTCGTGATGGCAGTCAGGATCGCGTTGGCCGCCGGCACTCCACGCTGGCGGAACGCAGCAATGATTCGGTCGATATCCTCACTGAATCCTTGTAGCATCTTCGGCGTGAACAGGTTCCCCAGGACGGGCTCGTGAACGATGACCTTCCGAACCAGCTGCGGATGGGTTCTGAGTAGATTCATGGCAATGTTGGCTGCCCACGAGGATCCGAAAACAATCGATGGCGCGCTGGGTGAGAGGTGTTGAATCAGGGCAGCAGCATCCGCGACGTTAGCCCTTAACAATCTGGATGCGTCGAGGTTGGTCGCATCTCTGATCGGACTCCGCCAAAATCCTCGTCGGTCGTAAGTCACTACTTGAAAGTGGGATGACAGGAGGGACGCGAAAGATGCGAAGAAGGCTGCGGTGCCGTTGCCCCCGGCTATGATCAGGAAAAGGGGGCCCTGGCCACGTACTTCATGGTACAACTGGGCATCGAAGACGTCCAAGTGGGAGCATTGTACCTCAGAGGACACTCGAGGCTGCATTGTGAGAGCGATGGGAAAGTCAATGGACTCCAGCGGTGCAGGCAGCTCATCGCGCTTTATAGTCCTCGACAGTCCTCGACATAGCTGGCTGTTTGTGACTGTCGATCCGTCCTCCTTGCAGAAGCCCTAAAAGCTGCCCGCCTCCGACCTCCCAACCTGTCAAACAAACAGACCGACTCGGTCAACCCCCCACCAAAAGCCTATCACAGACCAGAGTGAGTTGGAAAGAGATAGGCGATCGGTTGCGACTGGCTGCCAGTGCAGCTGCACGGCAGAGGCGCGCGAGATCGCAGCTGAGAAGAATGGGATCCCCGCATGGTCTGGGCCGAAGCAGGCTCGGCAATTATTGCCTTTGAGACCTTGGACTGCATCGTGGCAGCTTGGCCACGAACCATTCGCTTCGCTTGCTTCTTCGTCGCTCGGAGGGCTGCAGGTGCCGACGCTATAAATTAATAGGTAGTGTAGTGGCAGGTGGCGTCCATGGCAAACATTCGGGGCGCGGTTTCCCCGGCCGAATTGACTCTCATCGTATAAACTACCTGGTACCTAGTACCTAGCAGGTTCCGATACCATCATGAGTCAATGGTTGACAAATTCACGCCCCTTCCAATCGGAGGAACAGAGCGTTTTGCCAGAACGAGGTGGATGTCCAATAGCGAAACCTCCCGGGGTTACTTGAGGTGGAAACCTGTGAGATTTCAGCCGCACCAGAAGCATTAATCCAGGCATTCGGTCCGGGAAATAGACAGCAACAGTCATATGCTTATTTCCTCAGCATGACATCTCGGAGTAATATGAACACGAGCTCACGGACTGTGCTGGCGCGGTCATCTAGAATATTCGGAAGACGCATGAAGTCCAACCCCATGCCCAGGTCAGCACAGCTGACAGGTGCTATAGATGCTATAGATGCTATAGATGCTATCAATACTTAATCTTGTCGTCGGCCAGAGATTGCGATATCGAGTGCTTGATATTTTTCACTTCGCTCATCCACTTGTCAGCATGTCTACCGCCATTCTGGAAGAGAAGATCATCGTTGTTGACGACGTGTCCACAGCTACTACCATCGATCTGGTGCCCAAGGCTCGCAAGGATCTGTCTATCCATTTCGAGTCCTTCTATGGGGTGAAGCCTCGCCACGTCTCGCCTGCGTTCAAGATTAGTCTGTCAGATCTCAGCTATCAACCCAAGGAACTTGCCCAACATTCCCCTCCCAGGAGGGGCCACCCTCCTGGAGCAACAGACAGCATCGACCTACTTCTCTGCTGCCGATCTCCCATATCAGATTCCTCCCTTCGTTGCATCCGCGCTTCTCGACTTACACTACACCAGCCTCGTCCAGGCCCGCGTCATCGACCTCCTCAGCCCGTCCGGGGTCGTGATGTCCAGTATTGGCGGACGGGTGCCGGTCGCCACGATGCTCGCTCTCGCGGACGCCGCCGGCTTCGCCGGACGGATCCTCTCCATGAGTTGGAAAGTGCAGAGCGAACCTGACTCGGTGATCGGGGGGTATGCAACTCAGCAGCAGAAGGCCTTGGGTCCGGTAGGTTCCGAGTCTCCTCTTCCTCTTCAGGGTCTGTCTGCGGAGTCCTACAAAGTTGGTGAGACGCATGCTGACACGCAGACGTGGCTTTCCGGGGCAGTTCTACGTCTATCGCACCACCACTCTCCGACGCGTTTTTCACGGTCGGACTCCGGCGGGTGCTGCTCTCCGGGCGCTGCAGATTGAGCGGGATCTACTCCCGGAGCGCATTGATGCCATCACGGCCCTGGAACTGCACCAGGAACTGCACCAGGAAGGGGTGGAGTTAGGTCATCCGGTGGTGGTCATGGCGAGCGTTCTCATGTGAGCATTCGTCGGCCAAGACCTGCAATAGGCTTGACGAGCCTCGTAGTCAATTAGTCTTGTTTTTATTCTTTGGGCGCAAGAGACGAATCAATATTTGCAATGTTGTTTGTGCCGCCTCGTGTTGGGGGTGACGGTTGGGGCGGAGCTGCGTAAGATATAAAAGATATAACTGGGGAAGAGTACAGGCGGCTCGCGGGTACACACCACCAGAGACAATGCTGAACAACAAGGCAGGATTTACCTGCCAAGATAGTCGCTGCAAGGGATTGGAGAGGGAGATACTTCTTTCCAATGGGAAAAAAAGGACCGAGAGGGGGGAAATAGACTGGAGTCTGAAGAGCAAAAAGGTTGACCTACGCAGGGCTCGAACCTGCAATCTCTTGATTCGTAGTCAAGCGCCTTACCATTGGGCCAGCAGGCCAGCTGATGGAAGTTGGCATATTTTTGATTATTATACCCCAAGAGCAACGCTTATGACCTGCAATAAGTTGAACTCGAGTACACTACAAGAACCGCCAGACTACCTGGAACTAATGGATACACCGTATAATAGACTGGCATAGAAGACCACCAATGTGGACAAACAATCAAATGCACCCAAGCTCCGGCCTGAATGCTTGCCATCTCAGCTCGCCTCCCGTTAATCGGCTGTCTTCAATTTCTTTTAGCACGGAGTTTTCAACGAAGGCTGCGACTGAACAGGATCTAATGATACTGTCAAAGCCCGTCATCATCTCTGTAGATGCCGGCCCATCGCTATGAGAAAGGTTAGGGCAGGACAGGATCGAATAGAAGGGCAGGTCTGACCGTATCCCAGTCTCCACGCGCATCGGCAAACCGCAAGTCCGTTCCGAGGCGAATGACACCGTTCTCGTCGTGGTTCAAGGTCGAGGCATGAATCTTCATATAGCATCAGTGAGAGTCCTTCATCGTACCAGTAGGACTTTACCATGTAGGAGTCATGGAACACCACATCCCCCGCCTCATAAGCTGAAACCAGCCACCTGTGTTGGTGCTCCTTCCCAAAATGCTTCGGATCCTGACTGAGCATGCCACTGGACATCATATGCCGATTAAACGCGGTCTTGGCCTCCTCCTCCGACAGCCCAGCCGCTTTGGCCTTGCCAGTGAAATGGCGTTCGGTGGCTTTGCCTAAGACATGGCCTGGTCGTGTTAGCTCAGCGCATCTCGGTACGAGCGAAAGATTGTCCACTACAGACCATTTTCAAGATAGATCAACCCGCCCCCGTTGAGGGCGATATCCCCGACCGGAACCCACGCCGTCAAGACCGAGTCTTCCCCATGCCGCAAGAAGATATAGTCGTAGTGTACCCCAGTGGCTGGATTTCCAGGGAGATTATTCCGCAGGATAGTCCGTTCCAAAGCCCATGTGCTCTTGCCCCAACCGGTGAACTCCTCGACGAAGGCGATGAGAGCCGGATGTTTGCAAAGATCATTGCGATACCAGTCTTCAGCGTGGGCACGAAGGGCTAGCGTCATGAAGGTATTGGACGTGGTGGTTCCGGTGCCCGGGCGACCGGTTCCAAAGCCGGGGAAGTCGGTGGCGTCCTGAGAGCGATCGAAGATCCCCTCGATTGGAGAGGTTCGGGGGTCCAGAATCCCGGTCGGCGCAAGCAACTCAAAGTATTTCCTCCTTGCCTCAAGGACATCGGCGCGAGGCAGAAGCCCTTTCAGGTAGAGATACCCGTCTCGTTCCAATCGGTGCCGCATCTCAGCCATGGGAGTCGTACGCGGACAAGTTGCTTCGAGCAGACCCGTGCTTTGAGGGTCTAGTTGGCCATCGTTGACGTACAGGTCTGGAAAGTCGGTCTCGGGATGGAGCATGATGAGGATTCAAATCGTTTGGGTTGCCAGGGTGAGAGGTGAATCGAGAAAGAGAGCTGATGTTGCTGGGCCATCCATAATATACCTAGTGATGCATTGTATAGGGCAACCCGGGGGAAAATTACCCAGAATGGCGTTTCATCCCGGTTACTTATGCTACCATACATAAGCTGCGCCCGGACCGAAATTTCCCTTTGCGGTATAAATCGCCCGACTCTATGCATCATTGCTCACAATGCATCATGCAGGGTTGCCTTCCCAACCCCAGAAAGCTCGGAGCCGATGGCTCACTTTCAGACATGGCCACCCCACATGCAGCTCTGCCTCAGCAACCAACTGCATCAGCTCTCGAGTCTCCTCGGGATCGTCGAACAGCTCACCACCCAATGCGATTGCCAGGCCCGCGGTCAGCCTGGCGGGCATATATTCCGGATTCGACATGGCTATCCCGCAAATGACACGGACCGCATTACGCATCTCCTCCTCTTGCTTCTGCAGATACTGTGCGCGCCCAATTCCTAAGCTGGGCATGCGGGGGTCATGCGCCAACAATAAGATGCGAGAGAGTTGGAGATATTGCTGGCCCGCAATTGGGCAGTCGTAGGTGTAGTAGATCACCGGGAGTATACTGACCCTATCCGCGCTGGCGGATGGTGCATCTTCCGGATTCTCCGGGCGAAAGCGAAAGGTCCACAATTGCGTTCGATGTGAATAGTGTATCGGCTGAAATGAGTCGGGCTTGCGCTCTTCCCAGTCCAGTACATACTGCCACAGTCGATCCCACTCCAACTTATCTTTGGGTCCGTTACCGTAGGCGAAGGTGGTGACCCGTGCTGCATGTGCAATCATGCGATATGTCCACGTAGCATCGTCAGCGGGCGCCAATGACCAATTTGCATTGCAGGAGGCAAGGCTGGGTTCAACGGCTCGTTTCACCATGTTGCCAATGACGATCTCCTGCCGCAAAGCCACAATCATGGCTGCATCACTGAATCCTGATGGTCGGACATTACCACCCTTGATCTGGAGCAAAATCGGGGTGGAAACCGCATGCGATGTGAAGACTTTTTCTTCGGTTGGCTCTTATGCTAGAGTCAGCGGTCGGGCTCGTGTTTCGGATGAGATTCAATACCTACCGGACATTTCTTCGAGTAATCTTAAGAGCATGGCGGAAGCCAGCACGCTATCGTCCAAAGCCTTCGACGTATCGTTGAGACTCGGGATCAGGACCTCAAGACATCGCCCCTCATATTCATGCGAATCGCAGGAGCTGATTCCCATCGTCAACTCACGATGTCGGGCAGATATTGCCAGAACGGCAAATAGGATGGACGGGTCTTTGGTAACGGTGGACCCCACAACGGTTTGGAAGTGCCTGTCAGGGATGCAATAGTCGAACTACGCTCGGCCAATGTCATTATTGCAATTCACATGAGTGCGATTGAGCACCTGGCTTACCCACGACACTAGATTGGTGAAGAAATACTTCACCAGCTGGGCCTCTTCCCTGGAAAGCGGCCAGAACTGCGACGAGGCGGTCGACGCAGGGGTTGAGACTGACCGGCCAGGGTCATGGTCGGACGGAACTGCTGATCCTTGATTCTGCGATGCAAGCGGTCGCTTCAGAGAACGCTCCTTAGGACACTGAGTCGGTGGGCTTGCGGAGCTTCTGTTGCCAGACTCAACCTCCGCCGTGTCCACCAGTTCCGATCGAGTGGCTGATTGGATCACTTTGACTCTCGCGTTCGTCCGCCCTGGAGTGGACTTGCGGCGTTTGCGCTTGGTCGATGGTATATCCACCAATTTGATGCGGAGGTCTGGCTGACGACTCTGGCTGCAAAGCAGACCCGCCCGCTCGCAAGGAGAGCACGTGTCGCGATTGACAGCAAGATCACCTACAGCACAACTGAGTACGAAGACCTCTAAGCTTAAGAGTGAGTTCGTTCAGGCTCACATTTCTGGTGTTTATTGCGGCATCGCTCACTGGCAGTACGGTGGAATATCTGACCTTAGCTCACATTGTGCGCAAACACTCCAGAGGCATAGATAGCCATACCATGCAGGAAGCGAGCGTCCACCGCGAGGGAAATTTCCGCAGAGTGCCCGACTGTGAGTTGTGTTGCTTTCTATGGTCAAGCTGTCGCTGGTCGATAGCATAGCGAAGCAGCCTGAGTGGGAGAGATGAGAGTCCTGTAGTTAACTTAATTATTGTACAGTACCGAGTTGGATGATGGCCAGAACCGAGCGGGGGCATTTGGGCATTGGGGCTGAAAAGACGGGCAGAACCGAGCGGAGAGAAAGGCGGTGGCCCCTTCCTCCGGGCACATGGTTTATCCGCCCGAGGTCTGTTTTGGGCTGCTTCAGCAGTAAACTCACTCTGAAATAATAAGTCAATGTCAATAGACCTCGACCTGTTCTTCAAGCTTGACAAAAGTACTGACCCCTTTTTTTTTTTTTTTTCCAAACCAGCTATAGCTAGTCTATCACTCACACTGGGAGTGAGGAGCATCCGAGGAATGCCCGAAGCTTGGCAGTCATCGTCCGGATTGAGTATCTCAAACGAACCGTGCCGCAGCGGAAGGGCGGAACCGTTGAATCAATGAATCAATTTAGGTTCGACCGGTACAGTCCAGGATGAGACATCGGGTGGATCGACGCCTTGATTTACGTCTGCATGGCCCTTATCTCGGAGTATGGATGTACTCAGATATATGTACTGTAAATGCACAAAGTTCATGCTCGAGCATGTGCATGAGGGGCTTGGGGCATGAACAATGAGCGGCTGTCCACCCAAAATAGACCCATGGCGATCCTATGGGGCCCCTGTCGATGGCGAGGTATGTAGCAATGGACAGATGATGACCAAGCTCCATCTTTGAGGTTCACGAAGAGATGTTGTAGATGGGGTTGGAGCATTGATCATACTAGACCATACGCCTAGCTGGTAGCAACTTCCGGTATTTTGCCTGGGTCTTGGTCAAGGTCATCGAGGCGTTTTGCTTTTACCTATAGAGCCAGCCGTTTTTGCTCGACGGTAAGACTTTGCTACTGGTCTATGCGATCCGACGGTGCTTGTTTTTACCTCGACATCCCTGCCATTGATATCCTCGATATCTTCACATCAAGCTAGTAAATCCTTCAGGTTTGAACAGGGGGC